ACGCAAAAGTGTGTGGAATTCAATTGAGTATGCTTGTTCTTTGGGCAAAAAGAGCATCTCTGGACATACGGAAGTTTTCACGTCACGCATTTTCATCAGCTACTCCTTCCACAAAGTTGTCCCACTATCGACTGGTTCTCCCAGGTCTCATTCATCGCCGTCTGACTCGCCTGCGACGAACTGGTGCATCCAGAATTTGACAGAGGTGATTGCAGATCCTTCTCTGTTCATTAATAGTATCTCTGCATATTCTGTACATTTGTTGGGATGCCAGAGCAGCTTGAACGTCTGATGCTTTGGAAATGATCCCACATGTTTGTTTCTGTGTACTGTAAGTATGTGCGCGATGTGAGCAGATCTGACCAGAGTTTTGCATCTTGGGCAGTGTAGACGGAAACGCTACAGCGGAGAGTATTCAACTTTTCCACTCTGGAGGGTGGTTTCAGATTTTTGCGTCTTTAAGCCCCAAAAAAACGCTGTCACCGTCTAAACGAAAGGAACTTACGATAAAATACTGTGTCGTTTTTACCCGCAAGCGTTCTCGTGTAAACAGGTCCTCAGTCAGTTAGAAAAAAACGTGGCATTTACTTTTAGACTTAAAGACTTAGACAAACTTTACTGATCCACAAGGGAAATTATTTGGACACAGTAGCTCACACATCACAATATAATATAATAACAAAGAGTAAAAGAGTAAAAATATAAATGACAAAAGGTTGGTAATGGTAATGGTTTCATGATCGATATTGTAATAATGCCTGATTAAAAATAAATACAAATGGCTATCAGGAATAATTTTTGGAACATAATCAATAGACTTTAATAAATGCAACTAAAAAATATAAACAAGTCTGAACTCTGCTGACTATAGACTTCACGTTTAAAAAGACTCAAGTGATTAAAAGGATGGAACCTTTGTCTCGATTAAAATGTAATTATTTTCACATCTAAAGGTCAACAGCTAACCGTTAATCCACGAGCGATCTAATATAAGCCTCTTTCCACAACAATAACAACTGACCACATCTTTTCCGCCAGACAGCACTAGACTCAGAACGACTTTTTTCATTAGAGCTGCACTGTATCGCAATAATCGTAAACTAAAAAGAAAGCCGGATTTCCATCATGATTTTCATTATTAAAGGTGGATTGTGTAACTTAACTGGTGGAGAGTCTGTCAGATGCTTTTCTCCGTGGAGATGTTAGTGCTTTGTCTGGAATGTTTCACAGTGTGGTATTAAACTTTTCTATTGTCATGGAGACCAAACCAGACTAAGTTCACAGTCAGAATGCTTGTTTGTTTTTATAGGTGCTTTTGAGCTATAAAACCACCTGTAATTGAATAAATGTAAGGTAGAGCTGTTTAATACCATGCTGTGAAACACTTCAGACAAAGCAATAACATCTCCTTGAAGAAAAGTACTTGACAGACCACCAGAAACGTTACACAATGCACCTTTAAATCCTACTTTATCCTTATTTTGGTCTTGGTTAAGTAATCTGTTTGTATTTTGATGTATGAGCAGCTAGTAAATTAGGGCATGTACAAATTTGTTTTAATCTAACTGAATTTATTATATCGGAAATCGCATGATTGCAATAATATCATAACAGCAAGACATAAACAGTTCAAGTATTGCTTCTTTTTGTTCTTTTTGTCCAAACTTTTCACAGTCTAAAAGCCGAAGGATGTCCTAACAAAATTAGTGTAGTATCAGTCAGGGATGTAGCAATATCTAAATCTCTCAGTTCGATATTTTCACGATATGCATCTCATACTACGATATTTATTTCAATATTTTGTGGTGGCTGACCAGTTTTTCCTCTTAAAATGCCTTTGCAAGTCTTTGGTTCTGTCATAATCCAAAGAATTAAGATTTAAAAGCACTTAAAAGAAGTTATGTCTTCATGTAGTCTGCACTAAAACAGAGCAAAGAATCATGGTCTACGTAGTTCCCTCTGTTTTTTACCCAAACAAGACTTGTAAATCGACATATTGTGATGGCCCACAATATTATTGTGATACCTTTGATGATATGATTTCACGATATTTCTGCTATTGTTACATCTCTAGTATCAATTAGTATCTGATTTTCGATACTTTTGACAACCCTACAAGCTAGAATCCAAAATTATATTTCGAAATGACATAATTTGTACCTTGTTGTAAGTATAAACAGAGATTCTTAGAGCAGAGTTGTACAGCTGTTATGTGGTAATGTTCTCCCTCACATGCTTTGAGGAAACATGGGCGTTTCTCCTCCATTCTCCACATGACATAGCTCAGAATGAGCTGTTACACTCCAAAAACTGTATACAGCTAAATTAAGGTGAGTTAAATTAAGAACATTTGACTTTATCTGAGTAGATTCAGCTTGACAAGTAAAATTATCTACCAATGGAATATGTGTGGTTGTCTTACTTCAAGCAACATTACATTTTGTTTCTTATTTTAAGTGCAAAAAGTTGTTGTTTTTTCTTATTTGAATTGTAGCAAAGATGTATTTTCATATTTTAAGTACAAAAATGTCTTGTTCCATTGGTAAATAGCTTTAATTGTCAAGTGAAATTTACTCAAATTATGATGAAACTTTCTTAATTCAAGTAATCTGCAAGTTTTTGGAGTGTAGTCTAATGTAAGTCCAGAGTTTGTTGCTGGGAGGTGTCCTGAAGTTACAAAACACTCATGGAGTAATGGTGCTTTATTTGTAAGTGTGTAGTCACTTTTTAAACAAATTCAGTACTTTTGCAACAGCACACTTTTACTCCTCCTACTTGACTAATATTTTTTATTTACGCAACAGTACAGTGGGTCACTCTTCCCACTGTGAGTAAGTCTACAAGGGACAAAAGCTTTATGTGGACAATATTAAATGATCTGAACATTTGTGTTTCTTGCACCGCTCTTTCACATATGATTCAGTTTGTCTCATTTCTGTGTCTGTCCTTTGAAAATACCAGATTGTGTGCATTATTTCATGTTTTATTCATCAAGTGACATTAACCTCAAATTATTAATCAGATATTATGTCCCAGAAGTAACTCTTTTACAACTACTTTGTACCTCTACTCGCGTAATATTATTTTGATTTCATTTATTTATTTCGAGCAGATAACTGAACACAAGAAGTATCCATGTATCTATACACTTATTGTGCATTTCTCACATATTTTTTTTCCAATTGGAGCTTGAAAAGAAGTGGGAAGAGGAAAGCTTATTAATTCCGCCCCTGTATTAGCCTGATTCATCAGACGGTTTCACTTTGCAGCATTAGATTTCGTTTGCTCGACAACAGGCGAGCACTTTTTTTCATTTAACCAATCACTGCTATTTGGTCGTGACGTATGTAATGCGCCGCTAACAGGGCTAACTGGTATATTAAGCTTTTCCCAAATCCTGTAGGAAGAAGGGCAATACTGTCTTTTCCCTTGATAAAATTCACCAAACATTCTCTTTATTCCATCTTTAAATCCTCGATCTTGGAAATTGTTGACAACACAAAATGTATGACTCTTCACTGATTGGCTGGTGCCTGAACATGCACTTTTGGGGTTCTTGCAAACCAAAATCTAGTGTATTCTGATTCCTGACCTAGACGCTTGAGAGAAATTAAATTGAGTGGAGGCACTAGGTGACACCAGCCTGTATTATACTGGAACATAAATAAAATGCTTTGTTTAAGGTTTTCAGCTGAACAAAAAAATATATAAATTATTTCTATTCGTAGTAATAACTGTATCAGAAGGTCACTGACAATAAATAATAAAATAGAGCGTTACGAGTTGCCATGGGACATTTTTAAGTAGCAATAAAAGAAAAACAAATCAACAATGGTAAAGGACAAGAACACCAAAAATAGTAAAGGACAGCAGCACATAGCAACAATGACATTGTTGACATGACATGGAGAATGTGAAATATGACAATACAGTTAAAATCGTCTTTCTTTTCTTACTCAGACCAGACCAACATTACAATTTTAGCTATTCTACCTTTGTTTACCAGCAGCGGGTCATGTGGGCATATGGGTATGGGAAGAGCACAACTGCAAAAACACTTAAAAGTGCAGGAATTCCCCAATGGCATTCAGGCAGAACTGTCGACTACATGACAAACAGGGTAGGCTACATGACAGATGTCTTTAGCCTTCACTTCCTCCCTGTACATTGTGGTTTTGCTGTTATGAAGCCGTTACCACACACTAAGCACTGCACTAAAATAGCAATTGAAATGTATGGATTGAGCGAAATGGAGTACTCTTTAAAAGTAGGTCTAACTATAGTGTTTCATGTGCTATAAAACTACTACTAGCAACTAAATCACTGTGACATAAGTGTATTGCATGTACACAAGCTTTGGGTTGTACTTAAATAAAGTTATGAGGAAATATAGTCATATTTAATTAGGCTTAGTTGATGCAAACCGGGATTTTAACACAAAAGGCAAGGCAAAGCAAGTTTATTTGTATGGACACAAGTCGTACACAAAGTAATTCAAAGATAACACCTACTAAAATATAAACATTGCATGAGTATAGCCTGTAAAACTTCTAATGTCAACATCTTAATTTGTTTGATGTTTTGATCAAGAACAGCCATCTCTAGTGTAATTACTGTAATGCATGGGATTTCTGCTAATTCATCAGCTTTTCCAAACACTATGCCAACTTGCACAACTACTTAAAATGAGATGTCTATCAAGAAAAGATAGAGTAGGTTACTTTAAAAGCTATCACATCCCAATGACCAAATTCACTCGGAAAACTTAATTTTTGCCAAATTCATGACAAGTACACAGTGCAATGCTAATGTAATGCAACCAAAACAAACCAAGCTTACTGTTTGGGGTGAACTTTCCACAAATAACACTTGGCCACACTTTCTTCAACGCCAGTGATGTAACACGCGTGTCCAGACCACATACTCAAAGCCATATTTAATATCAAAACCATCTGTTGCAGCGCAGTCTAAAAGTGTGTGCGAGATCCGATCTGTGTTACCTCCATCCTGGGGTGTGTGCCAGCGCTGGTGTTCGCCTGCAGGAGCTGTTGTTCGGACGCGGAGAGCACGGTGCGCCGCTGCTGCTGCTGCGTGGAGCCTGGAGCGCGGAGAGAGTGAGCAGAGCAGCGCTGGGGACACATGAGCCGAGTGTTTATATCCGGAGCCTGCACATGAGCTGAGGGAGGAGTGGACCAGCCCTACCCACGGCCCCACCGCGCCTCCAGCCATGCCTCCAGCCATGCCTCCTGCCCGCTTCTTCCTTTTTTTTCTGCACAGTCACACGCGCAAGAATAAATATCAGAAGTATCCAAAATGTAAACACATACAATTGTAGTGGCATAACTGGAAAACTGTGACATATATGTATTCTTCTTCCTGTTCTTCTTTTAAATTACAAACAACTGGGTGCGCAAACGCGATATAAACATGTCAGCATTTAGATGTCTGGACGAGGGAACATAAATTAGGGCTTCTAGATGTCATTATTTCCCGGGACAGTCCCAGTTTTGAGCTCTGTGTCCCCTGTCCATTGATTTGTCCCAGTTTTATATAACAAATGTCCCAGATGTCCCTAATTTGATACCTACCAACAGTAAAGAGAGGCATAAATTGTCATTTGATTAGGTAAAATACAGAAAAGCTGCTTAAAAATGACCAAAGCACAAAAATGTGACTAATGAGACTAGGCATGTAACAATAACCGTAATATCGTGATATTGTATCGTCATCAATATCGGCAGCCCTCAAAATATATCGAATTACAAGTCTCTTTGCGTAAATGAATAGTTAGGGTGATGATAATATCTTTCTTAAATAAACTTGGTGCAGCAGTAGCTAAAAAAACAGAGGGAACTACATAGACCATGATCCTTTGGTGTTGTCAGAGCAAACTACATGAACATTTAACTGTTATTAAGCACTTTTAAATCTCAATTCTTCATATCATTACAGTGTCAAAGGAAAAAGTAGCATAGTCACAATTTTGTAAACCTCCACAAAATATCGCAATGAATATCGAACCGTGAAATGCATATCATGAAAATATCGTATCAAGGTATTTGGATAACATTACATCCCTAATAGAGGCATGTAGTATGCCATAGTAGTCATGAATGGGCCAAATACAGAACAGTTTTCCTTATTTACGCACAATTGATACACAATTTTATTATTACCAACCACAAACGGGGGTGTCCCAGTTTTTTTTATTTTGAAAATCTGGTCACCCTAACATTAATACATTATATTATATAATAACAATAAATTAAAATAATACTAAAACAATAAAAAGAGCATTTGTATCGTTAAAAAAAGAAAAAAAAGATGATAGCAAGGGAGTAGAGTTCATTCAGTCCAAGGGACTTTCATACATGTAGGAATACACTTATTGAGCTTTAGGTCCATTCATATATTTCACAGATTTTATGTATGATTTAAGTTATTTTTTAAAGCAAGTAAAGTTAGACAGACACTTCTGAATTTTACATTAGTGGATATAAAATTTTACAAGACATAATATTAAATTCACGTAGTTTATTTTGAAGTAGTACATGACATATACACACATCCCATCGCGCCTGCCTCCAATTAGCATATTAGCAGTACAAGTTAATGAAGTTATTGTCGTATTTTGTCAATTATGCTGATTATTATATGATAATACCTCGATACATAGGCCATGATACGATACATATCTCGATGCTGTGCACTTTCGATTCGATACGGTATATTTTAAATTGATTCGATGCAGTTCAATAAAAATAATGGCTAAATCATGGCTGTGATATTAAAAGTCTTTGTTAAACCACTTCTTTTCTTGTGCAACATGAATATGAAACACCCATTTTAATCATCAAATGTGTTGCATAAATGAGTTTCCTTCCACTAAACAAGCAACAAAACTATATTGCCGCAACAATAGAATTTTGTCAAATTTACCAAAAAATACTCTTGGCGATATATCGATACAGCAGCTCACAATACCAATACTGTATCATCACATTAAACGATACAGTATATCAATATTTTGATATTTTTGCACACCCCTACATGCATGTTCTTTTTTGTTAGCACTGGCTAGCACTGTGCTAACATTGCTGCTAAATGTATTTCTAGGCATAGACATTATACAGAAGGCTAATGTGTGGTAATGGGAAAAAAATAAATAAAAAGCTAACAATTTTACACAAAAATATAAATAAACAAAGAATTACAGAGTGGTGTGTATATATTAAAAAAAAGACATACACACAGTTGTACTTATAAAGACAACTGTGACACAAATGTATTACCACACCACATGTTCCAACAAGTAGCATATTAGCAATACAATTAATGAACATTATTGTCATATCTTGTTAATTATTGTGATTATTATTAATGACAAAGTTACATGAAACATAGTTAGCTCATGTTGATTCTACCAAGACAAATCAGCAACATTACTATTTTTTAATAAACGGAACATGCAACAAATATTTTCAGTTTTATTTCGTTAGCACTGGCCGGTACAGCGCTAACAGTACTGCTATATGGATTTTTAGGAATGGATATTATGCTAATGTATTGATTATGGAAGAAAGAATAAAATGAAATGCTGACAATTTTACACAAAAATATAAGTAAACAAGGAAATACACAATGGCGCATAAATATAAAGCAGACACACACATAGTTGTAGTCGTAAAGTGAACTGTGACACAAATGTCAGTTAGCATACTAGCAGTACAAGCTAGTTTTAGTCCTATCTTGTATTGCTACTTATGATTGACAAAGTTACCAAAAAGCTCCCTCATTTATTCAAAGTTCTACCAAGATAAAATACATATGGCTACTTTTTGCAATTAAAGAAATCTTCCTTCATAAGAGTTGTTTTTCTTGTTTGCATCGGCTAGCTACCAGCTGTGCATTGCTGCTACGTGGATATTATGCAAATTTAAATTATGTTGGTGCTACTTGCAAAATGAAAAAAAGGAGGTCTCCACAAAAGCATAAAAAAAAACTACACAAACATACAAGTACAGTAAACAATTGAAATGTACAGTGCGTATTTACAAAGAAAGCAGTGATATGATGTTGGTGTTGTAATAGTTGTAATGTGGTCTGGAGCTGATTATGTGACTTCATCCCATTTTCACTAGCTCCATGTTATCGATAACACCTGTTGCTAGTATAAACAACCCGAGTGTTTCCAGATGTGTTGCACATGTCATAATAAGAACAGCTTTTATGAGGTAACTTGGTGGCAGCAGATTTGTTCATCAAAGTAAAAGTGTGTTAGTTTATGGTAATGCTGAAAGCTATTAATTAGTTATGCTGTATGCTATTATTTTGTCTCTGTGATATGATATACTGTTGTTTATCCATGTCTCTGAACAAAATTGAACTTGGTTTAATTAACCAGCAAGTACCAGTGCATTATTGAATAGGAGGTAATAACCAGAGATGGAAGAAGTTTTGTTACGTAAGTAAAAGTACAAATACCGGACCCCCAAAAAATACTCAAGTAAAAGTAAAAAAGTATCACATAGAAACTTAAGCAAAAGTATTAACCCATTTAAAAATTCCTTAACTCTTTCCCCCATGAAGACGATATTTGACGACCCTCCCTTGTTTCCTTAATGACATCTTTTGACACCTCCGCTGTATCACTAAAGACGTGATTTGACGACCATTACAAATGGCTCAGTTTTTCACATGTAAACAGAGGCTGTGATAGGTGGGGGCCACTACAACCCATACATACTAATATATGTATGAGTTGTTCCAAGTAGGCATCCAAGGGGGAAAGAGTTAAAGAGTAAAAATATTTTGCACAAATTTTGAAATGGAATAAAGCTTCAAAAGTAGTGATTTTGATTCAGCTTTGTGTTGAATAGACCTTTATCACAACGGCGTGAAGTGCCGCGATGTAGGGTAAACGTCACTTACATTAATGCTTTACTATGACAAAATATCTGTGGAAATGTGTCATGTATTTTCCACCAGTTTCATAAATCTGCCCTATCAACAAATCTTCATCCAACAAGGTCGACAAAATTTTGTCCATGAAGAATTTATTCACAACTGTCAAGGTAAGAAAGGTGAACAACGACGAGCATTAGTGAACTACTCCTGAGCAAAACTTACGTTATGGTCATGAATAAAACATAAGTAACTTGTTAACTCAGACTGATTCAGCTGTATATTTTTGTTTGCTCAAACTATAAACTTTAAAAAAATAATCCCTCTTTTCAGCAGGTCTCAAACTGTTATTAAAAAATAATTTTACTGGAGTAGAAAGTACAGATACCTGCTCTCAAATCTAGTGGAGTAAAAGTTAAAAAGTATCCACTGTGAAATCTACTTAAGTAAAGTACAAATACCTAAACCTATTTATAGTTAAGTACAGTCTTTTTTGTCATGACAAGTATTTTGGTCATGCTTGCAAGGTCAGACAAGCTGCTGACAGCAGTATTAAGTATTAAGTATTAGTATTAACAACATCCTGATACATTTTATGTTCTGCAATCCAGTGGTGGAACCTAACAAAGTACAAGTAGAATGAATTTTACTTAAGTTGATTTTACAGTGGATACTTTTTACTTTTACTTCACTATATTTGAAAGCCGGTATCTGTACTTTCTACGGCACTACATTTTTGGACTGGACTGAAAAGCAAAATGTACTTTTCAGATTATTTTAGGGGTTATTTTACCATATCTGTGGTAACATTCATGGCTAATTTTTTTATTCAAACTTTGAGCAAACAAAAATAAATACACAAAATTCCTAAGAAAAATTAAGAAAACAATTAATTGTTATGAATATATGTATCATTTGTTATCAGCATGTCTGCATTTAACAAATTAACAACACTTGCATGACATATTTTTACTTTTTTACTACTTTTAAACAGGTACTAAGGTAAGGTAATAAGTAGGGATGTAATAAAAACCAAAATATCATGATATCGTATCTTCAATATCGTGGGCTGTCACAATATATTGAATTACAAGTCTTTTTGCGTAAATGAAGAGTTATGGTGCAGGAATTGCTAAAACAAACACAGGGAACTACATAGACCATGATCCTTTGCTCCATTTCAGTGCAGTCTACATGAAGAAATAACAGTTCTAAGCACTTTTAAGTCTTAGTTCTAAGTCTTGTCAAGACATTTTAAGGGGGAAAAGTAGCATATTAACAGTTTTGT